TCATTGGATACTTCCTGGAAGAGCCCTGAGATTTTTTCTTCAGCTACCCGCTGCAATGTGTGCATTGGAAGCTGCCAAGTCGTTGACGCATGGACAAATCCTTTCCTTATAATACGTCTCTGATCACGAAGTCCTGTGATTACGAGTACTGTATAAAACCTTCGTGATTCCCAACAATGCAAGGGTCATAGAAATTTAGTGGAAAAGATAAAATGACCACGATAGCACATGAAAAGCCATGTTCAGCTACATATTTAACCATATACCACGTCCAACTTTTTCTGACAAACTTGGCGCGCGTGACTACCGATTGTACCGAATACAAAATCTGTGCATCACTGTATTATGGACTTCGAGCATTTCATTTGATTTGTTTTCTTCGTAAAGACTGAGTAAGTAAAAGTGTCTTGGAGACTTTTTAAGCATGTTGAAAAATTGGGATTTACGTTTACCGTATTTCGTTACAGAATTAAATTGCAGTATGACTGGAATTATCCGGTCTCCAATTATAAAAGCCCCGAAATCCGTATTAACAGAGAAGAAAGGAAGTTGTTTGCATTCGCCGTAATTCAACTATATAATGGGTGATTTTCTTTTCTTTCATGGACTAAAAGCACTAAACCGAGTTATTATGCACTTTAGATTTCGTTGGTTTCTCAGCACGGTAATGATGTGTTATCTTTCTTGACGTATTTAATAAAATGGGTGACATTTTTCGATAATCCACGATATTTGCTTAGCATAGAAGTGGGTACCTGATCATTAAAACGAATAATGTACTGTACAACATTCTGAGTTATACTGCATGCATTTTTATTGCGATTATAATTCAGATGCGTCTTGTATTTCTTCTTTTTGTCAGACTCAAATCAATGTACCAATTTCCGCAGGACCTTGTCAAAGTTGGGGGATTTTCAAACGCTTTAAATTTCATCTTTGTATGCCGCCGAAAATATCGTTCTCACGTTTAAATACACTTTTATAGGAAAACCGCAGGCTAAGAAGGGGAGAGTCGGAAAATTCCACCACAGTAAGTATTGGGTTCATTGAATTACAGTACAGTATTATTCTCCATCTAATGTTATGCTGTATAAACACACCACATCATACTCCTGAGATTTTCACGCAAATCCCAATTGTATTCCAATGAGCTGTGTTGATTAATGTCTCTGAGGCATTTGCGGTCTTCTAATGAAGTTGGAAGATGCAGCAACGATGAACTGGATTTCGAAAATCTTCGGTTTTTACTGTTTCCCGGTATACTGTATACTGTATAGGGAAACCTTCAACGTAGCACTGATAGAATGCAAATGTACCTTTTGACATAAGATACCCTATAAGCATATGGAACGATTCAGAATCCGTAGACATTGTATCGACTTCGACATAGTTTCTGATGCGGGTATTACGCGACTATTGCTCAATTTGCTGTCGACTGTCAGCAATACGGACTAGCGCCGTTCAACAATATTTCATCACCTGCACTAGAAAAATGGGTTGTGATAAATTGTATTTTGCGTTCGTCGTAATGTATTATGTCGACCTTTATTTTTCATGAGTTTGAAAAAGCTAACGGATTTGATATTTCAGAAGCAACATATGGCAGTGAGATAAGTTCTTACTGAGAACTTCGCAGCCGTTACCAGATGCTGCACTGTATGATTTTACTGTTCATTTTAATAGTTGAGCGACATCTAGAAAATTTAGGGGTCGAAAATTCAAGAGCGTTGATAAAGCGGGCCTGCAGAGTTGTGCCCTGTCGCAAAGGAAAAGGCGCGCGAGTTTCACTAAAATATCGGCCACTAGACTAGATCAATGTGTAAACCGCAACTCTGAATGAACTCACCTCACGTTATTGAATAAATTCAAATGTAATTATATTATATAAATAGCTTAGAAGTACTGTAAGCTGTTCTGCACGAAAAAGTTCCTCGTTTGCTGATTGCTCTCCTTGGAAGAGAGCACTCAAAAAGCTGGTGCGAAGTGTACTTTTTTAAATGTGCCTGAACTGCGTATTTGTCTGTAGGCCGCACAGAATGTAATGCTGTACGCTGAAATGTAAATCAACCTATACCAGTATTATACTCGAAATACAATAACGTCTCAGATCCGCGCAGACATGCTGTAGTTTCTAAATGGAACAAAATATTTCTCGAAGTACAATACTGGAACTACAAAATTACTTGATGGAATTCTGCTCGTTGTATAATTTAATTTCGCCGCTGACGAACGTTATTCCACGTCGGGATGCTCTGTTCGAGAATTCTATCTTCCATAGCCACCCTGACAATAAATAGTTCCGATACAGCTAAATGCGATGACTTCATACAATTCATTCCATACCTCAAAAATACTCGCGGATATATTCGTATGTCTCGTCGAAATTACCGACGTTCTCGTGGTCCATCTATACAGTTGCGACAAAGTTTATTCTTCATATGACCGCGGAAAATATAATACTATTGCTTTCATGGAATTGACAGGGTTCAGTCGTTGCTTTTGTTCATCGATAAAATAATATCTCACTGTACTTACCGGGTATTCCGCGAAATATGTCTTCAACTTTCGCTTGAAGGCAGCATTTCCTCTCTGGACCAATGTTGACTTCTCCTTTAATAATCATCGCATTGATTATCGGGATAATCAACAGTTTGGACACAACCGTGCGATTTTTCTCGATCCCGCATCTAACTTTTTGCTTACTTGTTAGAAGAGCACTTCAATTTAATCTCGGCGAGTAAGGCCTGAATAATGCGTAATATTTTGTGCATGGTTCGAAATATTCCACAGGTCGATGCAAAACTGGCTGCTCGGCTCACAAACGCGTCCACACAAAATACACTGTCACCGATCCATGAAAGCGCAGTCCTGTCTTCATAATCTGACAAATTTGGAAGTGAAGAAAGTCAGGGAATCCTGTGCAAGATCATACCATTGAGGAGTGTGAGCTTTGATCCCGCGAAGGCTAACCAAATGTAGGAATAATACAAATTTGAATTAGCGTAAGACAACAATTCAGGAATGAGTTTTGATCCCGCGTCGTAACCAAAGGAAAAAGGGTGAAACGGGAAATGATTCAATGAACGCGGTGCGGAGTTAAACGCGTGACTCAATTCTTACCGGAAAATCAAGGGATTTTCAAGAGAAACCGAAGCGCGTGAGCCTTAATTATGCTAATTCCTGAGGGGTTAAAGCAGACCCGAGTTTCGAATCATGGCGAAAGAATGCCGCGAACGCGAATGCTGGGCGTGCGGTACAGCGTTTCATAGACCCTGCCGAGTTCATGCGAGGTGAATGACCGGAGCAGTAAATAAGTTGATGAGGTTCGTAACCCTCCGCCAGGTTGGAAACCCCCCTCCAACCCAAATACACCCCCTACCTTACCCACAGCTGAATGAACCCCGGGTACACGCCTGTTCATGAATCGGATCGTTCCCGAATTTTACAGGCGCCGTTTTTGCGCGCACGTACTTCATGTCACGCCCGTATACGGAATGCCGGGTGCACGACTGATCATTTAGGTTTTAGGAAATTAAAAGAAGAAAATTTAAATCAACGACTCACAATGAAAAATATCAAAGTCCCTTAAGCACCTACGGAGAAATATTCTGAGCAAATGGATTGAAAAATTAGTTTGAGAAATGTCCTATCAACCACGATCAAAACGATTTAAAAGAAAATAAAGAAACCATTCTCAAAATATCCATCTAGTTTCGCGCAGCAAGGGGACTACACGTTATTGTGATGAGGATACCATGAGAAAAACGATCTCTTGAGAATACTGTTCATCATATGATTTAAGCAAGCAAATGATGATCACTCGCATCAGCGGAGCAGTCTGGACTTACGCTGAACAGTGTATGATAATCTAGAATTCTAGATAAACCGTTCGTTATTCATTCAGTATTTTAACTTAAATCGAATTTTCCAGAATGTTCTCAGATGCTCGTGTCTCGAGAAATATCTGTTCAATTTGTCAATGGAAAGAATCGTGAACTGACTTCCCGCATTGGCAGCGAAGTACAGTACTTTTTAAGTAAACAATAATGTGAAGTTACTCCACGAGTAACAATTTCATCCATCCCATAGAGCAGTTCTGCGGAACAATGAGATACAATACCTACTGTAGATCGATCTTTGCGATGCGATATCCTGAACAGAACGGCACGTTAATGCAGAATACAGTATCTCCGAAATATTTTTCGCTCCTTAATCAAGCAACTTTACTTTCGCGCTCTATAAAGAAAAACTGACTTAAAATAAGTTAGTGTGTGCAGAATCACTAGATAAATCCAGGAGGTGCGCGTTGGTACTTCTACCTTTACTGACAGATGGTCTATCAATCTCGAAGGCGAAAACAGTACCGGTTATACGCCTATTGTTAAGTGGCGAATGCTAAAAACTGCATTGACAAAGTTTGGACGTAAATGCAGTACCGTTACCATTGCGCTTTAATTCGGCGACAGCAAGCGTTCGACAGTCATGAATGGTGACTTCAGTTCTACGGACGGGGCGCGCGCTAGTTATTCTCAAAAAATCCCGTGAGTAGTTCAACAGAATGTCTCTTTACACATATAATCATCATAAATTCAGTTGGTAGGTGATTTTCATGCAAATTTATTGTTTTTAACAAGGATTATTCATTAAAATACAAATCTGGATACATGCGGGTTTATATTGACAGTGACGTCATGCGCATGAATACAACGCCGAAGCAATGGCCGCCCCCATTCCAATCACTCCAGCGAACGAGGGTTGCATGTGCTAAGTGATCCCCACGACGAGGAAACGGTTCGAAAGCTTTGCTGTGCGCATCGTCTCATACACCTGCATCGTCTGTAGTTTCTCTTAAGTGAAGATTATTATGTGAAAAGTGGATGTTGAGGAATAGCTTTCACGGTGAATTTATTTTTGGGCACACCGCCCATCCTTTTTCAGGGCTCAGAATGTGACAGACATGACGTGAAGTATGCTCAGGGTCCGCGAAGATAACCGGAAATATGAATGGTGAGGATCTTAGGATCCCCACTACCACCCTCGCGGGTATAGCGAGTCTAACAGACTGTAAGTATTCGTGCTCGATTGATGTGTTCGATGTGTGGGTTGTGAAGAATCATCCGTCTTCCATTGAAGTGTTACCTGAAATGCCCTTGCCTTGCCCGTTGCCGCAAGCATATGGCAGTAGATCGCTCTTGTTTCATCCCCGTGTTGCTGAAGAGGCGAAGCGTTTAATTTCTTCTGTATGTGAGCCGGAACTTCTGGATCAGCTGTTGAAATGCTTGCACCAGACCACGGCAGATCACATGTGCGTATTTATCGTCTTTCTCTTCTTCCTGCGTTGCAAAATTCATTCATGATTATTGAACTGACAGAGAGCTAAAAGACCCTCAACCCCCTGGGGACTCGTTGTTGGAGTCATGTCCAGAAATACTCCGTGCCGCGTTGCAGCGTGGACTTTTCACCGCAACATTGAGGAATTGTGAGAAATCTCCGATATGTATATTCAAGTACGATCGTTGCTGATGTCTTATATGGAATACTTTTAGCTGTGCGACATGGAAATCAAGAAAATCATGTGGTCGCGAAACCGAGGCCTCATGTTCGACCGACTGCACAAGGATCTGAGAACTCTGCTGGAACGTCCAATTGCGTTTCTGGCCGAGCGCACAAGCCGGATCAAAGTTTGTGCGATACTCCGACGAAGGAGATCCATTCCAGTCATATGGGTGATATAAACGCTGTATGCCATGCCAAAGATAAGCACCAGGGCATGGTGAACAGTATCCGTGATAATGGTCACCTCAGTTGTGGGGGTTTGACCCATGAGGACACGGTGACGACGTGTGTTCAAATGAATAAAACTGAGCAGCATTCCTCTTTGAATTCGAGTAAAATAACTGAAAACGGTAAGATTCTTATGGTGCTGTTCCGGTGGAATTTTATTGACCCTTTTCAACATTCACAGCGCAAACAGATTCTGGTTTCCTTGCCAAAGTGGATTCGCAAGTTGCATCCGGGAACTCAGCGCGCCTTGCCTTCGATGAAGTGCTTTCGTCTACGGGCCCGGAATGGCGTGGAGATGTTCCGAATTGGGAGAAAGGCGAGCCACGTGATTGCGTGAACCATTTGAAATCCGAGGAGTCTGAGTCTCTGGGACGTAGTGATATGAATTTGCCAAAGCACGTCGTGGAACCTGTTGCTGCAGTTATCAATGGGCCGAGAAATCATATGCATCTTGACGACATCAAGCTCATGGGAACGCCTGTCGTCCAGCTGAGTCGCCTTGGTTTGGTGAGTCCGATTGTGATAATATACTTTACTGTTGAGGAAGTCGTGTAATCCGGAATTCATTCCGTCGACGTATATTCGGGTAATCTTCTGCATGGGTGCGTCAGAAGGGAACGCTTTTTTGAAGCTCTCTTACGATGGTTTAATTAGCTCTTGAGTTGGTCGACTGATGATGCGTGATTTTCGAAAGATTGACTTTCAGTAAAAATCGTTGTAGGTGTTGACTGAATCTTGAGTCGGAATGTAAGTTTTTCCTTTATTATGTGAGTGAGAGCTTGTCGTTGGCGAATACTGTAGTTGAATTACATGTAAATTGGCACCTCTAAAATCGAATATCGCTTGATTCGGAGTGAATGAAATTTTGTATTGTGTATGTATCCGAAATCGTATTACAGTGCAACATGTCAATTTTTTTCCATGTATTCCAGACGGACCAAATGTACTTGCCGAATGCGACGAAATGCTCCGAACCGGACCTCAAACCGCTGGTGGAACAGCAGTCTGATTCCGATGAGGATTCCAAGAAGCACAAAATATTTCGTGCGAAGGGCAAAGAACGCGAAGAATCGAAGCGTAAAGGTTAGTTCATTTTTATGAAATGTATTGTCAATGCCTGACTCATTTTCAATACAGAGCGAGAAAGTGTAAAACGGAAGCGGGATGCATCGGAAGAACCTTGGACAGACATCGACAAGTCAACAAGACGTAAAGTGGAAGGTACGACGTGAACAATTTTCCCCTTTTGTTTCTTCGCAAAAAAATTTTGTGTATCGTGCAGAAGTAATTCCAGTGGAGCTGACACCGAAGAAACCGAAGGTGCGGCGGGTTGAGCTTAAACTTGTACCCGTGTTGGACCGTTTGAATGTGGAAGAAGTTCAAGAAAATAACACCTACCAACGCCTTAGCAAACTTATGGATCAAGCTTTCGAAGCAGTTGATGATATGGATTTGACTCCTGACAATGGTGAGATTTTAAAATTCTATGCGGTCTAAAACACAATGGAGCAACAATTCTAAGCTTTGTTTTCGCGTGCTTGCTCAGGTGATAAAGAAGTAGAAGAAAATGATGACGACGAAGACAGCGTCCCTGCCGAGTTGCTGTTGTCGGAGTACCTGTTGAATCAATTGCGCGAGGAATCCGGCCGATTGAAGGATAGAGGTGCTATGGACTTGGTTCCTACCGACAAGCTTGTTCGTCTGATTCAGCTCATGTTGAAGAACATCCGTCCCGCGGTTTCTTTGAACCCATTGATCGATCCTGAGGATGAAGACGAAGGTGGACGTCTGTGGATGGGAATCGCGATGGAGCGTATAGTGCGTTCTGTCAACGCTTCGTTGGTGGTTCTTAATATCATCACGTCGAAAAATATGCCGAAGCGTGTTTATATGGATGACGTGATCGACAAAATAGTGTCGTTGACCAAGTATCAACTGCAGGTCACCATTTTCCCATCCTATGACCCAGTCTATCGCACTGCTCCTAAAAATAAGAAAGGTGACCTTTCGTCTGCACTACTTGACTGAACGAAGAGTTTGAAAATCTCCATGATTCCAGATGGATACACGGGGAGTATGAAGAAAAAGAGAGCATTTGCGAGAGAAGTGAAAGAAAAATCGATCACTCAGCTGTACCGAAGATTGTGCGAGTCTGTGATGGCCCTCTCGGAATTGTTGGAGATGCAATCTTTTACAGATACGACGATTTTGAAGGTAGACGAATTCGTCTCTCGGACTACCTTTCGTGAAATGTGTTACAGAATCTTGAGCTTTGGTTCTAAGTTTCCCGTCATCAATGCTGTTTAATTCACGAACGTGACATCAAGTGTGCGTTTGATTTGAACACCTTTTTTCATTTTCAGCTTTCGTCTCTCGGAGTTAGCCCTTTCTTCGTGGAAAACGTGTCGGAGCTTCAACTCTCGTGCCTAAAACTTGTGACTGTGGTAAGAAGGCAAATTGACTTCTGTCGATGACAGACATAGTTTGAATTGAAATTTAACTTCCTGCTACTTTCGCACAGATTTTCTCGCGGTACGATCAGCATCGACGCTTGCTCCTAGATGACATTCTTGCGTCTATTGCTCGACTTCCTAGCAGCAAGCGCGGTTTACGGACGTATCGTCTCCGGAATTCAGAAGAAACCATTCAGATGGTCACAGCTCTAGTCCTGCAGCTCATCCAGTGTGTCATAAATCTTCCCACGAATCTCCAATTCTCGAAGTCCGGTGACCATCAGGTCATTCAGATGAGCGCCGATGGTGCCACCGAAACAGAGGTAAGCTCTGTATACCAATCGCTGCTTCAGTGTTATTCTAAATCCTTTTTACTCTTCTATTTAGATTGACATCGACGTTTTCATCGGGCAGCGATATGAAAAGGCACGACAGACGGCGGCAAATTTTCTGACCGTCTTTCTTTCGAAGTGTACCAGCAAAGGGGAGGAAGGGGATTATCGACCTCTATTCGAAAACTTCGTGCAAGATCTGTTGGCTACCGTGAACAAGCCTGACTGGCCTGCTTCCGAATTTCTTCTAAGCTTGCTGGGATTCATCTTGGTACGTTGCAATCATTGTGTTGACTCGTTCGCTTGCCGATTTTGTCCTAGTTACATACAGCGTGTCTTCTTTTTTCAAATGCGTCAAATACAGTAATTTAGATTTTCCTGATCTGACTTGTTATATGGTATTCGCAGGTGAGCAAGTTCAGTAAAGGGAAGGACATGAATACCCGAGTGAGTTCTCTGGAGTACCTCGGTGTGATTGCCGCTCGTCTGCGGAAAGATGCCGTAACGTCGAGACTGGGAGTTGAAACCATTGATAAGCTCATAGCGCAAGTGAAAGAACAGGAAGAAGAGCAGAGCAAGGAAACCGGCCATGTTGTTGAATTGGTAAGTTTAAAAATTATTTTCGATTGTTGTTTCTTACACTGGGATGCCTTTTTTTTTAGCCGAAACTTGGCGATCTTGAGGAGGAAAGAACTCAGTACCTTCAACGCTTACTACTTGAGTACCTGAGCATCCACGCCGAAGCCGAACCGGCCTTGAGGTATACCCGTGATTTTTACGTTGCTCAGTGGTATGTGGATGCTGCGAAGGATATAAGGAATCAACAACAGTCTTCGAAGTCAGCTCAGAATGGTGAGGTGATTAAAACTCCTCGTCGGAAGGATCGGCAGAAGAAGAGCAAAAGCAAGAAACGAAGAGGTATGTGCATAGTATTCGCCTTCGAAATACAGTAGGTTTTCTCATGTCTTCCTTCATCAACCAACAGATGACAGTACGTCGGAAGAAGAGATCTCAGATGACGAGGATGAAAATTCCGCCATGAAGAAGGATGTACTAGGCCTTTCAGAAACGGATAAACGGGAAGTTTATCGGCTAGTCGATCTTCGTAAGAAGTTCCTCTTGGGAAAAGTGTTCCGTCCGAGTGATATCAGTAAAGGGGCCCGGAAAGGTTCTTTATTTCAAACTGAACTTGACGATGATTCCGCTGAATTGATCGCTCGGTATCTCGCGTCAAAACGTGATTTTTTGCGAAGCTTCAACACGTATCTTCGACAAGTAAGGAATCATCACCGCGGTATCCTTGTTCCATTAATTATTTTTGTCGAATTTTCTTTCCCAGATACTCAATGTCTTGGTTGAAACTGCAATAGCTGTGCGAACGAAGGCAATGAAATGTCTTGCTATGATCGTGGAAGCGGATCCGTCTGTGCTGGAGAGGAAGGATGTGCTTATGGGCGTGAACCATTCCTTTCTGGATCACTCAACGTCCGTCCGTGAGGCAGCGGTTGACCTGGTTGGCAGATTCATTATTAGTCGACCCAGTCTTGTTCACCAATACTACGACATGCTGTCAACGCGGATTTTGGTGAGTACGAGCTAGAAGAAAGAATCGTAGATAATTTTCATTCATGCTTCCTATTTCATTTAGGATACGGGTGTGAGTGTGAGAAAGCGTGTGATAAAGATACTAAAGGATGTGTGCACAGAATGTCCGGAGTTTCCAAAAATTCCCGAGATATGTGTGAAAATGATCCGTCGAGTTAACGATGAGGAAGGAATCCGCAAGCTCGTCATGGAGGTGTTCCAGTCTATGTGGTTTACACCTTCCCGTGAACGTGCCGGTACGAATAATCATCTGCTTGTCCAGAAAGTTAAGAATATCGTGGACGTTGCCTCGACGTGTTCGAAAGCGAATAACCTGGAGTGGTTCGAGCAACTTCTGCGTCATGTGAGTCGTTGATAATTATGCATTTCATTTTAGCTCTTAATTTTTGTGTCCATTCTTAGATGTTCAAACCGAAGGAAGACAAAGACGATTCCACCAAAATTGTGACAGATCCACCGAAAGTAACACTTCTTGCATGTCAGCAAATCGTGGATTGTCTTGTCGAAAATGTTTTGCTGATCGAGGAATGTGACACGAAAGAATCTGAGCAAAGTAATCACCTCGACGCATCCGAACGCCAATCCCGTGTTCGACGCAGCAGTCGATTAGCCGGGTGCATGCAAACTTTACATCTGTTCGCCAAAATTTACCCTAGCCTCCTTCTTAACCATGGAATGACGCTTCAACCGTACCTCACTTGTTCAGTAAATGAGGTAAACGTAATTTTGGGAGGGTTCCTGCTGATTTGATGAAACCGTTGCTTTTTAGGATGCGGAGGGTCAGCAGATCGTTTGCTGCACAGCGAGCATTTTGGAAGTAATAGTTCCATTGATGGAGCATCCTAGTGAACCATTTCTTGCTCAATTAGAAGAAGACGTTGTGAAACTGATCGTCAGTCAGACGAAACCCGTTGTGACCGCAGCCGTCCAGTGCTTGGCGTCCATTGTGAACCGCGTGACAAAGAACTATTCGCTCGTCAAAGACTGTCTCGGGCGGTACCTGGTTTTCATGGAGCGTTTCCAGCGGGTTCATGACGCGAATCCTGAGGATCCCCGTTTGAAACTGAGCTATCCTTATTTTCGGAGAGCAATTTTCGTTGTCGGGTTGTTCATGCAATTCTTCGATTTTCGTGATCAGCTTGTTCGATGTGGCTTGGAAGTAAGTGTACATGTAATCTGCATGGATAATATTTATTATAACCTTGATGCATTTTCTCTTTGCAGGACGGCGTGATCAACCAGACCTTCGAGATCATGTACTATTTCGTGAACAATTCGATTGACCCGTCCTTGCGTTTCGATTCGCTTCAAGGCATGGGAAGCATGTGCATCCGCCATTATGAATTCCTTCTGAAGAGCAATGTTGTATCATTTTATTCGAAATGTCTTCTGGATGCAGAAGCTCCAGTGAAAATGAAAGTCCAGGTTAGCTATATCTGTTGTGCTACTTGTGAAATACGGTACTTTTCGAAACTCAAACAAAATTCTTTTCTAGATATTGAACAACCTCGAAAATTATCTGAAGGAGGAAGAAGCGAGGATGGCTCAGCAAGACAAAGAATGTGAGTTAACTTTTATTTTCGGGAAGGAAAGTTGATTGCGACCATCAAATCTCTCCCGTAGGGAATAAGACGGGAAAGAAGGAAAATTTGAAGGAAATGCGAGATGTGCATTCGGGAATGGCATCAACGATCATGCAAGTGTACCTGAAGCCCTTGTTGGAATCTTGCTTACATTCCGATATGCAAGTACGTAGGGCAACTCTGCAAGTTGTCCAAACGATCGTCAACCAAGGACTTGTCACTCCAGCTGTGGTGAGTTTTTCGTGTTTAATGGAAACCATAGATCTCTTGATGCTTACAATTGTGTTGTGTCGCAACTTTTCTTGCAGATAACGGACTACTTGATAGCCATGAGCACTGATTCTGAGGAGTCTGTGTATCACACTGCCGACAAGCTGCTACAAGAGCTCGAAAAGAAATTCCCGAGTTTTATTCAGATGAAGGTGATGCCCGGCTTGAAGCTCTCTTACATCTTACAGCAGAAAATCCAGCATGTGCACCCGATTCGGGGGTTTCGGAAATCCCAGGATGGATCGCAAAGCGTTGCGTTGACCGGATTCGTGTATTCATTGCTCCGTAGTACGAAATCTCAGAGAAGAGCAATTGCTACGACGTTCTTGAAGCAGTTCGACGAAAAAGAGGTGGATGCTCTTTTGAAAGTATATATATTGATCGTATTTCAATGAATTGTTGTACTATTCTTCAGCGATCTTCACTTGCCTCGATGTTGTATCTCGCGGACAACATCGCCTTCATGCCTTTCCAAGTTCTTGACGAGCCCTTGTACATCATCCATCAAATCGACGTCATGATCTCACTCCACGGCGGAGGACTTCTCCAGTCTTTTAAAGACGTAAGTCATTCGTTCTTCTCAAAATCGTTCATTTCAAAAAATATCATTGGCGCCGACGCATTACAACTGCATTTCCCTACTAACGCCTTGCATGGGAATAATTAGAATTTGATACCGCGATCCACTGAGAAACCTGCCGTGGCCGTCGGTCCAGATGGTGTGCCGCAGAATAATTCGTATTACGATGATGAAGATGAAGACGACGATTTAGAGGCCTTACTTGAACGTGTCCCTGAAGACACGACGGCTTTGGAAGACGTCGTAACAACGTCTCAAGGAGTCGTGTTACTTCTGATTCTCAAGCAGCATTTGAAGGAAACATACGGCCTGACTGACAAGTAATTAAATCGGCATTAATTCTTCTGTTACGATTACTGCATGTTTCGGTTCTTTATTTGAAGGCGAATTTCCGAGTACAATCCGAATGCTAGCGGGAAATTATTTGAGAAGACCGTCAATCGCCGAAATGTTGGTCAGTTCAATCCGAAACAGATAATAAAAAAGCTTGCCGAGATGGATCTATTTCACGAGAATCCCAACCGTGTTCATCATGAAAAGTCGGAACTTATTCGCCAGTACTTGGACGTGAGTTTTGCTGTGTTATGTTCACTTATGACTCGAAGTTTCATTATTTTTTAATTTTAGTTTAAGGCCTTAATGCTCAAAATTGACCCGGATCAAGACGAGGAAGACGGCGACGGGGCTCCTATGTCAACTCCTTCAAAGCGAGATATAACAATGGGTCAAGATGGCCCGTCAGCCACGAGAAATCTGTTTACTACACCGACGCAGTCAGGCTCAGTTCCTAGTCAATCGTTGCATTCCGAGAACGATTTCATGGCGAATCCCCAGCCTCTTGCACCCCATATTATTCGTCCTAACAACCCTGTCAACAAAACACCCGTGAATCCGGGAATGATGATGCCTATGGTACCCCTAATGCGCCTACAAATTCCAACGGCATATTCACAAGCCGAAACCCCCGTGCGTTATCCAGAGATGCACGGTGCGTATCCGAATGCACAGGTCAATTCCAAGAACAACTCACCTAGCAAAGGAGCAGTGAGTATAATTGTTCAAACAATTTAAAAATGTCAATAGATATTTAATTTTTCATTTGTATTTTTCCTTCAGTTCGACAAACCGAATAGGCCGGAAGGACTTCCGAAACTAACGATAAGTTTAGGGAACCGGACATCGTCTCAGAGTAATGTTTGCAACAGCGCAAGTTCCAAAAAATCCCAGAAAGGACATTCTTCACATCGGAAACATACAGAGAAGAAGAAGAAAAAGAAGAAACGTCACAAGTACTCGGAATCCGATACTGAAGATTCAGAATCTTCGGAGGAGAATATGGATTGAAGAATGGTATCTCTGCTCAGGTTCGTTCGGAAAAGCGGACGTCTCCACTGTTTTTGCCTTGCATAATTCGGTGACAACTGAAGAACTAACGCTGGTCTGATGAGAAATTACGGGTATTGTGGTACGATATACCGTTCATGTTGGGCTCGCCGAAATCTTGAGTGCATATCGGTTCAAAGATTACCCGTATTCAAATGTCTGGGACCCCGTTCCAATTTTTTTTGCTCTGCACACCTGCTGAACTCGCCGAGATTGAATCATGGGTACCGTGGTTGTGAATGGCCCTGTCGCTCCAATTAATCGTTCCGTCTTTGGGTCGTTTTCGTTGTCCCACTTTGAAAGCCTTCAGAGGTGACCCGAACATTTTTGCCCTCAAAAAGCAACGAAGAAAAAGCAATAAATTCGCTGCAACTTGTGTAGTTTTTGCGAAGGAATTTATAATTGAGACAATCAGATGTTCGATGTTCCCGTACTGCGAACTCCTCTCGTCTGATGCGCATATCTAACGTTGTTCGGCAGCTGATCGGTGCGTGAAACACTTTTCACTGCGATCATTGCAGCAATAGCATAAGGATGCGGTATAGATTTGAAGTGCAGTATTTCGAATTTGAAAATAATATTCAGCGATCGCCGAGGTCGATGTGTACGAGAAAGATTACTGGTCGTCATTTGTTCGTAGTGAGTATCTCTCAAGTTTTTCTTCGGCGAGTTCAGCAAGTATTCGGCTTTCGTGCAGGCTGTTGACAAAGATGTCCGAGCACAGTGTGGTTTATACCATATTCATTCATCGGTTTTGTAATTCCTGTATTTTATCATTTGAGTTGACGTTGTTCTCGTTGTTGTACGCTTATGTTTAAACGGCCTTCTTGCGCGTTTATTATAAATCCAGTTGAGTCATTTTCAGGAATACCGATTTTATTCGATGACGACTTGAATTGGTCCCTCGTTGTATTGAATGGAACAGGACATTTTTTAGGATTTTTCTACGTTGTCACAGATTTGAGTAACGGTAAAAGCCCCATTCGAGTTCTTGATTGAAATTTGAGTGGGGCATTTTCGTCTGCGAACAATGTTACAAATTATTTATTCAGATGGACTTCGAAAACGTGCTTAATCTGGGGGCCGCCTTGGAACTCCGCAATAATGGTAATTACTTGCATGAACTCAAGTTTTGTGTTCGTTTATAACGAAGAACCGTGTAATATTGGCTTACCCAAGTTTATCTTGGTTGAATTAAACCAAAATTGGCGGATCTGATTTGTAAGTTCAAGTTCTGATTCCTGTCGTGTTGAAAATCTGTTCGTGGCCAATCGTACTTGCTGCTGACACTCCACCGTTGTTGGCATAGGTTTACCACTTCATTGTTCTCTTGAAGTAAAGAACCCTTCCCTTTCGTACATTGTGATACAAGCGCAGACTGCCCTGACCCTATTTTATTCTTTGTAATTGACGAAACCATGTTCATAGATATTTTTGGCCCGAGTGTTCTCTCTTGCAAATTTGGCTGGTGGTGCAGCGGTTTGGAATATTGTATTTATTTTTATGGAAGCGCTGATCGAATCCGATTTTAAATTAATTTATGAGGTCAGTTTTTGTCGGGGAATTTTCGTCGTTGATAATGAAGTCTTTGATTGCTTAGGCTGACGGATGTTTTATGCGTTGTTGATCTCGAGACGCATGGAGTACAGCGCATGCACTCATCGTCCAGATTTTCTTGCGTTTCCGACAGAGGCTACTATTGCCCTTGTGCATTCACAATGATCGCTCACGAGATCAATAATCATTTTCAGTATTGTGATCATAGCTTCGGGATTGAATACTGTCTTGCTCTCGTTCTTAAGGATTGTTTATTCGTTTTTCGTTTGTTATTTAAATTTCTTTTCAAATTCAGGTTTGTCTGATCCTGGTTTTGGTCTTGGCTCTCTATGAGGGGTTTTTCGCCCGAGTGCCATCGCTTAACTTCAAATCCCTGTTGTGTTCCATGATGAGCGATGCACTCATTTTCTTTGGTACATGCCACTCCGAACTTTTTGTTTGTCCTCAATCGTAAGGCTATGCGAAAAATCGCTCTTGCTGAATCATTCCCCATAAATTTTACTCGCACCGTTGAGCAACGAATCCAGTGCCCGCCCCCGAAGCATTAAAGCATTATTTTTTTACTGAATGTTGTTCGATATTCGGAAAAGCTTTAGTGTTCTTACCTCAAAAGTCTTCTTTGTAAGACAGAGGTGTGCTATTTTTTTAAGGGTTTGCTTGGAATGTATGCGTCAGGACTGGCGATCATTTTTGAAGGCTCTTGTAGAATCCCGGCAATCTGCTGGTGATATTTTCCACTTGTAATCATCGAGACATTTTTGAAGAAAAACTCTCTTGATTGGGAGTTGCGCATGTGTTTTTTTTTTTTTTTTTGCGTCAGGTTTTGGGCACAGTTTCAAGAGAACATACTGACGGTGGATTGCTGCTTCTAATGTTCAAAAGGAAGGTCTTAAAACTTCCTCCCCGTGGATTCTGTTCGTTGCAATGTATATAAAACGAATGGGATGTGGCGGACAGTGCAAATGATGTCTTCATTGATTTAGCGTTGATGGTTGCCCTAAATTTATTGTGAATCGTACTTTTGACCCTGCGGTTAATTGGATGTCCATTTTCTGTGCCCTGAGGGCAGAAATCAAGCCTTAAAATCCTTATTCTAGTTGCTGATATGGGATTGTTCACGGCTCAACAGCAATTCTTGAATAAGAAATTGGGGTGATCATTTGTCGTATTACGCATTTCAGACTTGCTGATGGTGGTAAATGTCCATGAAGTATGCTGTACGCTATGTTGAAGCCACATATTTGTGAGGGCGCGGATTGTGTGGGATGCTGGAAATTTCTCATTGCATAAATCGGGAGATGTTGTTGTCCCTTTTGTTTTATGGTTTTTGTATGGCCATCAATGGCTTCAATGAAAATCTTTTGTAATAAATTCCTGCATTCAATGGAAAAACTTATTGTCTTAGTTGTTATAGAAAGTGTGCGGCGGGGTGTGGGTTAATTGCAGAATGTATAATGTGCCCGTATTTTTCAGGGTTTGGTAGTAACGCTTGTTCTGGGTTCAGCGTTCATAGCTGGCGAATCCAATGTAAAGTTCGATGCTCTCTGACGATAATTTTAATTTATCTTTGTTCAATTGGGCATATTCATCGCATGGGAAAAATTTCGAGTTGTGATGGATTTTCTCCTAGGTGAAGGCGCGGTAATCAGACATCCAGGACGCTTGTTGGACCTGCCTGATGAGGAGCGCGGTAATCTTATTTGCGTGTGCTTAATGTGATCTTTTTCTGCATTTGCTTGGAGTGGTCGACTATCTGTGTAAAAATTACTTCAACTCAAGATCCGTTCCATCTAAAGTTAAATGGCGATGGTGGAAAAAAAAAATCAAAATTGTAAGCATACCTGATGAGTTGGCGCGAGTTCTCTCCTTCGAGCGACGGATATGCAGCATAGATTGTCGGAGGCAACGTTAGCCACGAAATCGCCTCCTACTCTGCGGAGCTGTCGTCCAACTTTCTGAAACTGCAGAAGAATAGTGAACCACGTTGAAGTGATGCGTCGTGGTGCGAAAATGATCGGCTGTCGCTCGGGCCACCGAAAGACGGTGAGAAAATTTTTTTCTCTTGTCAATTTCACACAGTTGACGCATTTTCGATTCTGCTGTGTACAGGATGGAACATGCTGCTTCTGTATTGCTCAGGCTCACCAACTCCGTTAAAAAGCTGGAATGTGTGCATGAACAAGTTGCGTTGGGTCCCAGAACGTTTTCGAGTAGTAGAAGACACGGGATGAAATCTGCCTGAGACTGTGCTAAGTTCGTGCGATTGGTTCATTCGTAAAAATGTTTATATGCATTACATGTTCAGCAAGATTGTTCTACAGTACATGGACTGTGATCGCACACACACAGTTGCTGAAATTCTTCGCTGTTTTATTTTTCGCCTCCTCCTTGATTCCGTTTTTACTAATGAGCATTTTTTCATTACAGATGTTTCGAAAAACACGTGTAAATTACCTTTTCGATTGTTTCATGTTTTACTTACGCCGCAACCGGGTCCGTGTTTTGGGAAGTGGAAATTGATACATCATTGTAGATTTGTGATTTCTATGAACGATGGGGATAGTTCAATGCCGCTGCAACTCTGCAAGTGTCATCAACCGCGAAGCCTACATCTACTGCTGTGCTCACGCGCGTCAGTGTTTCATCTACCTCTAAAACCTTTATTCGCTGTAGTTATTTCAAGATTAAAATGCTAGAAAAGTAGTTTTGATCGTATTGTATTACTGGTACTGCATGGATTTCGTTACAATAGCCTGTCGAACTCCGTGTGGAAATATCAAGTTTTTTTCAATTAATCCAAATCTAATCAGAAGAGCAATTTATGCAATAGTTTCGGAGTAAAATCTGAGATAACGTATGGTCCAACCTCAAGAGACGCCATTGTTCTTTCGGTGAGGTTTTGGTGGTTTAAGGTGGCTTGCAATTCATAAAAAATCATGTTATAAAATTTTAATTAACAACGTTCCGTGTGCAGTATTTGTACTGAATAAATGTCATTCAATTCTAATTACGGGGTATGGATTACTTCGACCTGAATCTATTTATTCCATTCCCATCTATTTTCATAAAAATACGAGATCCTGAGCACGAACGAAAACTACTCTAATATTGGGATGTTGGTGGTTCAACAAAGTCATAAACTGATGCTAAGGAGGGCTTTTTGTTCTGCCCCTAATGGTGGTTAGTGACTCATCAGGATTTCCGACATTATTCAACGCTGTGGAACTTTGTTTTGTTGATGTTGTTGGAAGTTAATAAGGATGGGGCTTTATAGGGGCTTCTGAATTGGGCTTGATTGTACAGTACTTCCAATTTAAACGAATATTGGAATCGGGAAAATCATTTCTTTTATAACTGAAGTCCTTAAATGAATTACAGGGAACTTGGACAGGAATAAATTGCTGTGTTTTCCCCATAATATCTTGATTTGCATCTCTTGTAAGTTTTGAAGACGAGATTCGTCGAAAGTTGAAGACAATGGAGAAAGCGGAAAGAGAAACGTTTTCGTGGTTCCTGACCCACTGATGCGTGTGGGAACACCGCAGTCGATGGTCTCGCGGTAAATGGTACACTGTATTATTACAGCTGTATATGCGCTGTATTGCGCAGTACTGTATTGTTCCGAAAAATGTCCGTGCGAAATTGTTCCATGTGTTGAACGATCATGATGATAGAATAGGTGCTTCTTCCTGAATTTTAATTCGTAGTTGTCGTCGTTTCCATCGGTGCGCAAAAGATGCTTGCTGCTAGAAGGCATTTTACTGCGACTGGAATCATAAGCGACAAGTCATACGCTGTAAAAAAAAAGGCCGGAACAGGGTTTTTGTGTTGATTCTAATTTCAATTATGTGAAAAGAAATGCTGTGGTTTCCGTTGAAAATCTTGAACCTTCGAGTAATTTTCGTGACTTGTTTAACCGCACATCCGTGCTTTCTATTCATCGTTTTCGGTGCTGTGATAAGAAAATATATTCACCGTTCCATTTGATGCGTGAGGGACGGCTCATAAGTATTGTTAATCTTTCACATTCCACCGTGGAAGATACCCAGAAGTGATGAGTAGCGGATCAAACATTTTTCGTAGGAACAATTTCTTAACCTTCGTCCACATTTTCGCCCATCATGGGAATTTATTTAGCTTAAAATACACCTTATTTTTTGTGTGCAGCAGGAACTCGGCCGTAATACTCGTGTGTTGTTAATGCTGACTACCATGTACCAATGAATTTTTTTTCGTTTCAACAATTCCACTTCAAATAAGGGTCGGGATTGCCTTGAAATATAAACCGATGCGACAGACATTGCAATTGAAAATGATAATTACGTATGAAAACAGGACGCTTGATTCAAGCTTTTTTAATGATCACCTGGTATTTTGGCTGATCTTGACTCGTTTGCTTGGACATACAAATAACTAATAAGCTCCTGATGGAGCTCAATTTTCGTTGCTGTTCTGATTGATCGGTTCGAATACATGTACATATTTTAAGTCGGTCGAGTGGGCAGTAGGTATTGAACTGCACCGAACTGACTGTGAACTGATGGTAATGCTAATTCAATGAATTCGAAAAACCCTGTTCAATTATTCAAGAAGTTACTCAATAAACAAAACTTTTGAACAGCCCTCCTATGCTCTCTTATCTCTGGAACAGTGTCCTGTTCAACAACCGTTCGATCTCTGCATATGCACATCATTCCTGCATCGTGCGAAACTTTCTTAAATAAATTTATCTTTTCCCAACTCACAGAAGTAGTGCAGAACGCAGGAGACGTAATTTTTGGTTGTACTGCTTCGATTGATTGTATGTATTCATGGGGGACAGTAGTCATGAGCTCAAGTCCAGTTCATCTGATCTGAAGTCGAATACGAAGCGAAAATCAGTTCCAGAAGTCGGAACGGAAACTCTGGAAGGAACGGAAGGAGACGCATTCATCATCAGCCATGTCGAGTGTCCTGTTACTGAGGAACTTCGTAACCAAATCCCAAAATCATCCTCTGGCAATCGTGATCTAGTAACTGCCGCTCGCGGTTTCCATCTTTCTTTTTATAGTGGATTGATTATTTCTACATTAGAACGAGCAGCATACAAGTGAGTGATATCCAGAAGTGTACTTCGATTCCCTTTTTTGTCTGGGCTAGAAATCTTGGGTGATTCTTTCAGATGGGGCATTTCAGTTGCTCGCCATCCAAAGAGAACAATATTGTGTTGTCTTGCGCTCACGCTTCTGAGTGGTTTCGGACTGCTCCGTTTCCAGTATGAAAGTGATCCCACGAAGCTGTGGATACCACAGGAGTCCAACTTCATCCGTGATACCAATTGGATGAAGCAGAAGTTCCCAGAACAGTTACGTCATAATGTCGTGATATATTCTAGTGAAAATGTGCTCTCACCGGAAGCGTTGAGAGAGGTGAGTTTTTAATATGCTGTTGATTCGCCCACTCACCCATACCATTTCAGTGCATTTGACGGTAGTTTTCGAATTTTAAATCCTTTTACAGGTGTACGAGCTTTACTCGAGCATAACGAAGATACGTGTGGGAAATTACTCTTGGGAAGATTTTTGCGTCAAGTATAAAAACATTCTAATGACGGTCGAATTTTTATAGATTAAATGGTGCTCATTCTTAGGATCCCTCGCGTGAATTCTTTGCCGGCTGCTGCTCAGCTTGGAAGTGACATAAGCCCGATGGCTTTGATCAAAGAGGAAATCCTGACAATGAAACAATATTGTAAAATGCTCAGGATTTTGCCCAAAATTTGCCTTGTCCGAAGCATTCTAGAATTCTGGAATTATGACTTGGACCGACATCTTCCGTCAAATTTCACGTGGATTGATGTTGCGAATGATTTCAAGGGTGAAGAATTTTCGCTGAGGTAAGTCCCTAACGATTTCTGCGGTAGACCATTTGAAATCCTCTTGGATTTACAGTCCTTACTACGGATTAGACACGAACTATTCAATGTATTTGGGGGGAGTCACGCGAGATGCAGAAGGGAACATAATCTCAGCAGCATCCACCATTCTTCATTTTATTAATGAAAAACCGGTCGGATACCAGGGAGAGTTCGATCACTTGGCTGCCTCACGTTTTGAACAACAAGGAGGCATCAAAGATGAGGTGTGTTGGGCAAAATTTGACCAGCAGCGAAGATATCCACAGATTTCGTTATAGGGGGACTCTGCGAATCGTTTGTGGGAGCAAGAATTCTTGGCTGTTGTTCGGAAGTTCAAATCTCGAATCGGAGCAACTGTTACTTTCAGGGCAGAAAGAAGGTGGCGTTCTGTCTTAACATTCGACAAAAAGCTCGGAGGGTTTTATTCGTCTTGCTCTCTTAGTTTTTCAGATCTAAGCAATGTGGCGATCATAAATGACGTCCCATTCGTGATGGTTAGCTGCATGCTTATGTATGCTTTCGTGTGTCTGAATCTTGGAAAATGTGACGTGATCGAAATGCGGGTAATTTGTTCACGATTCGCGCCTACAACATTGCATCATCACCGTTTCTATTCAATCCGCAGGTTTATCTGTCCATTGCTGGACTTCTTTCAATATTCATGGCCTTCTTCGTGTCACTCGGCATCTGCTCGGCCTTTGGAGTTTTATATAGCCCGGTTCACAACTTATTGGTTCTCTTGTTGCAAGGGCTGGGCGTAGACGACATGTTCGTCTTGATGAAAATGTGGAACCATCTGTCGTCTCATGGGATTGCATTTTGTGACGGGAGTGAACTTCTACCGTTGCACCGCCGTGTAGGAATTGTGATGAAGCACGCGGGAATTTCTATAACCGTCACGTCGCTGACCGATTTTGCCGCCTTCGTTATCGGGGGCTTCACGGTTAGTTGGGGGTTGAGTCTCGAATTCCAGAGTTTTCATACCGTCGAATGAAAGTGCCTTTTACCCATTTCTGTGGATGATTTCGACCGTTTCCTTAGTTATGTCATAGGTTAAACTTTGTAGACATATGTGCTGTCCAAGGTGGACTGGAGGAAATTAAACCGATTTCAGGTTCATTTTCGAACGCTGATATCATATGAAATTCAGCATCAATAGAAAAAAAAAACTTTAGTTGGAAGTCTTTTCCAAGGTGATTTTTTTAACCAATCAGAATCTGCTCTTCTCAATGTAGAAAAGTTCGTCCATTTTTTTAATGGGTCACTTGGGAATTTCTCAAGTTGTTTTGGTACTGTACTTCGTCCATACACCAGTACCGAGGTTCAAGGTTTGCGATGCGTTCGATGATTTAGATTTGGTGTCATGTACTTACAATGGGGTACGTTCCCCCGCAGGTTTTGCCATGTCTGCAGTCATTTTGCATCTACGCTGCTGTGGGAATCCTCGTCACTTATTTTTTTCAAATCACTTTCTTCTTGGCTTGTTTCGTCTTGGATCAAAAAAGAGTTGATCGAAAGCGAAATGGAATAATTCCCTGCTTTGATATTCCCCTGGAAATTACGACGACGAAGAAAAAGGAAGAACTTTGTAACAGGCTTTTTTCAAGGTTTTGTCGCAGAATACTTTTGAAAACTCCAACGAAGGTTAGCTGCGTGCTCCAGGAAAAAATCTTGACTTGACGAAATTTTTCTTTACTCCAGGTCGTCGTTATCTGTTTGGGACTTGCTTTTGTCACATTAGGAGCGTATGGCGTTTCTCAGATGCGCCAGCACTTCGAAATAGCATGGTTCTTGCCGGATGAATCGTATTTGAAGGATTTTCTGAAAGACATCAACGACTACTTTCCTGCGATCGGAAAGCGAGGTTTCATTGTCTATGGACGAATGAATCACTCGGGACTCGTGCACGATCTTAGGAATTTGGATGAGAAGTTCGGGGGACAGACTTTTGTGACGAGCGTGGACTCTTGGTCACAGTCTTTCTTGGATTGGATGGAAACTTTTTATCCTTCTGGTAAGCTGCTTTTGTTATAATTGCGTTATATCTGTGAGCAGAACCACATTTACATTCTCCGCAGAGCAAATGAATGATTTCACCTTCGCTGAACGATTCAGTCAGTTTCTCTTCATGCCTTCCGGGGCACCCTATGCACGAAATTTCGTGTTCAATGGTACACTGACGTGTGGAGAACCCGTTCCAGAGATCTTGGTGAGTAAAAAGAGAAGTTACACAATTACAAGCCTCTCTTTCCCGCCAAAAAGGCGCTGCAGAACACGTGTGCGGGTTCTACACAAGGTATTCGATTCATTGACTGAACCTGAGCAGCCATCGAGGAAGTACCGTAAATGTTATAACAGAAATGCTTGCGCAAGGGATGCACCATTATCATATCTTCGTCCTGAAACAAAAATGCTTTCTGAAAAATTCGCTGGTTTTCTTAAATATTTAACAAAAGGTATCCTTCCGAAATTTCCAATTCTTCGTTGTAGCGGCCTTATTTATTTTCCTCTTCAAAATAATGCCCAAAATCACTGTACGACCTATAATCATGTGAATACCGTTTGTTAAACTGAAAGTACAGTAGATGCATTTGTATTTGTTTTGTAGGTTAGCCGAACGGAGTATACAATGCGAGAAGTTCCCACATCAAACGCCCGAGTTGAAACAATGCTGGAATTACGTGCTATCGTAGATAATTCCGGCATTACTGCGACAAAGAGCTTTCCGTGGAGCTTCGAATTCTCTTCGTGGGAAACTGATCGCTTCATCTCAGGAGAACTAATCCGAAATATGCTTCTGGCGTCTGCCTGCGTATTTTTTGTCACTGTGCTGCTTATCGCAAATATTCACGCATCCTTCTGGGTTCTTGTTTGTGTCGCGATGACCTTGGTGAGTGCTTTTGGTCACCTCTAATTCAATTGTTCGATTTTGCAGTAACCATGATTTCTTTCATTATCAAACCGGAACATCGCATTCGCCTTTTTCCGAGTCAATAGATTTCTACCACCGGTTTGATACACTTCTGGGGGCTGACGATTGAGATTGTTTCGAGCCTGAACCTCATTTTAGCAGTTGGACTCTGTGTTGATTATGCTGCCCATATTGGTGAGTACACGAGAGTTGGTTGATTAATTTCGTCAATACAAAATGAAGCAATCCATTGGATACATGTAATGGGCGTAATGCCTACAAAGAAAATTCTGAAATTTTTCTTTCCACGATTGAAAAGCTTGCTTTCTCAGTTTGGAATAGAGAAAGACTTGAGTTTAAAGTTCACTTTTGTCAATGTTGATGCATCAGATTTACCTGCATTCATCAAAAGTTTGCTGACAGGCTAACAAAAGCTTCCAAATATCCGAATAATTGAAAACTTTCTCAGAAAATGTCTCGTAAATTATCGCCGGGCGTCTAGATTCCACTTCATAAATGTTTTCTGCTTTACGCAATTGTACTAGTTATTCTGAATACAGTATGAAGGCTTTCCTCAAGATTTTACTGAATTTTTAGCCATTTCCGAAGTCAAGAATGCAATCGAAGGAAATCGTTGGCAAATGAAGCAAGGTTTTCTCCAGTTCTCATTTTCATCTCAGATTGTGATTGGGAGGATTCTGAATCGGGAACTTGCGTGCTTTTAAAACTCAATTTCAAAGTGCTGAAAAACATGAGAAGCATTCCTTTTCAAGAACCCTTCTGTCTAGTATTTTTTCCATCAATTTAATGAACATTTCTTTGGCCACAGGACACGCCTTCATGACTTGTGATGGAACCCGGAATGAACGAGCGGAAGAGACTCTATCTAAAATTGGACCAGCAGTTCTGAGTGGTGGATTCAGCACTTTCTTATCTCTTTCCGTATTATACTTCTCTGGATCTTACGTCTTCATGGTTTTCTTCAAGGTAATGTTGAATCTCTTCTTGAATCCGATTTAATCTAATCTTTTATTTATGTAATTGGAAATGTTTGAATAGCGATGATCCGAATGACCTCTTTTTTGTTTGCCAAAGGTGTTCGTAGCGACGTGCATCTTCGGGCTTTACTATGGACTACTGTTCCTACCTGTTGTACTCAGTCTTTGTGGACCTCCTCCGTATTTCGCCGAAGTATCCTGCAATGACCGGGAAGATAAAGGACTTGGAGAAACGAAAGAATCAAAATACAATCCTGCGGAAGAAGCACATGGACATGAAGATATTTTGTGAATGTAACTCGCAGTTCCGATTCTTTCTTTTTTATTAATATTTTTGAACAAAGCGGCGTTTCAAATGTGCTGCCCAGCGATCTCGGTTTATTTTGAAGATTTCAAGCGTTTTATTTATTTGAATCGGCGGACGGTTGTCAATTGCGAAGATTTTTCAACGGTTAAGTTCCATTTCTATGCGCACTGTGGCGGTGTGGGAACATTTTAATGTAATTTTGATCGCTGTTCCTTTTGAGATGGCATATTCTAGCGTGGGAACAGATTTTCGTGTAATTCATTCAGCTTTTTTTTTCTTGGCTCTGGAGTGACGTATAGGTCGTATCATGCGTGTCAGCCTATTCCAAAGTTCGAATTCGAAATGAAGTCCGGTATTTTTCGAGGTCCTGGGATTTTATTCCGAACTGCATTAATGCTCCATGTCGTCTTGCTCCAGTGCCTTCAATGCTTTGGTCAAAAGTACAGTATTATAGTTTTCATCCTCTTCAGACTCACATTGTGTAGATGTTCTAAAATAAAATATACCATACGATGACTGCATTTGATTCATTTTTGCGCAGAACATGTAGAGGTTGGCTGGCATACCAACAAATCCGAGTATAAAAAATAATTGAAATGCATCAACTTGGAAGTTTCCTGGTCCTATTCCTGCTGTGGGCCTGATTTAAAGCAGAAATTGCAGCCACCTTGATCTAGCCTACATGGCTTGTCCTAGATAAGATGTTGTATGAACTTGCTCACATGCAGTAAACATAGAAGTTAGGAATTGAAGGATTAAGTTTAAAAATCAGGAATATTGGAAGGGAAGCGTACTCCGGACAATGCAAGGACAATTTTCAGGCATCCGTCAGCAGACTTCGAGTGATGTCTTCGAACTCTGGTTTGTTCATGGTGTCTTGAGCCAGCTTTTGCCTCTCAAGTACACATGGAAAGAGTGACTGTAACAAGATGACGCATGTGTGGTTTTAGAGTGCAATTCTTAATTGTGGGGTCGCGTCCATGCGGTGTGACCCGAGCGTAGCATCCTTTCTCGGGCACGCCGCGCAGCAACGGCAGCACAGAGACCCAGAAGCGGATAGGCACCCGGTTTGCCGCATTGCGGTAAACTGGGTCAGTAGCAAGAGATACGAATCTCCGGCAGCGGAAGCCAACACCAAAGTCCTGAAGACTTCGGGAAGAATTCATTCAGACTGGAGAATTGCCTTACGACGGTTGTGAACAATCTTATACCTAGCGTGATTATCTGTTGTGTACCTCAGCGTACTTCTTGTCCTTCTGTTGTCCTGTGTCTGCATTAAAGTGCTGCTTTCTAAGGGACTCTTCTAAAGAGGATCCGGCCGTTAAAGGCTGACTGACTGTGTCCATTCCTTTCTCTAAATCTTTGTCGTTAATCGGCCCGACAAAATTGGTGGCCAGTGGGTTTACCTCTACAAGGTCAAACCCCGGCATTTTTGCAATTTTGGGCACAGTTCCCTTCCTTTCTGAAGTGTGGAATTTACAAGTGTGAACTTGCAGCCTTGCTGCCCTTACGTTTACACCCAGCCCACCTCACCCTGTGGAAAAGCCTGTAAGTACTCACCTGTATTTTTTGTGTGAATTTTTCTCCGGCACGATGAACGGTGAGGAAGGCGCAGTCCCAGGCACACCTCCCATCTCGAGCCGTACCCGCGGTACGCACCAGCCTGCGCAAAGGCGTGGACCCCTACTGGCGGGGCCACGGCATTGCCTGTCCCCTAGCCCATCAAGCAACGGCAGCCGCAACAGCGCGTGGTCTAGGTCCTCGCATCGAACGCAACAGGCGCCTCTTTCAGGTGTTGAACGTTGATCTCAGCGTCCGGCGTCTTGCGGCGCCGCCTCCATCGTGGCCTTTAGTGGCCGTTCCTCGGCGTCAACAGCACGCCGCCCTGCAATTATTAAACATGTCCTCCGCCTTGCCAATGCGGTGGGTGCAGCAACCATATTTTGCGGACTCCCAAACTCTGAGATACGCAACAACGTTTCAAAAGCATTGTCCCTCAATTTTTTGATGCAGCCGCGCATCTTATTGATCTATCACCTGCTGAGTTCTCGCAGCCCGAAATTGCTGCCCTCACACAATTGGCAACCTAGGTGAACACACTTCTTGTGCAATCCATGGATGTCATGACCAGAGGGTGGCCTCATCTTTGCCCGACGCAGCCACGCATCCTGGGGGTTGCCTTTCCCGCGGCACCCCCGTACCTGCGCCTCCGACGCCATCGGTGGCGCACGCGGCACCTCAGCCCTCCCCCAGGGGGGCGCCGGTTCCCGTATTACCGTTGCACATGCCCAGCACATCGCGCGGAATGGGATCGGCATCATTGCATCCAGCAATGGGGCAACTTGTCCCTCTGTGCCCTATGGCGCCTGCATTATTACATCCACCAGCTCCGGCCAGCTATGGCAACTCGGAGTCTGGGCCATCCTCCATCCTGCAACCGCAGGGCAGACCGTACAAGGCATATCATCACGCCCTCGCGATGTTTGGGACGGGGCAACCCACAAACCTGTCCCACCATGACCTCGTGAAGTCATACAAAAAGCAGGCTCGTGATGCGTCATTTAATAAGTTCACTGGCCAAGTGGACTCAAATTATCCGTTTGAGAGCCTTTGGCGTGATTTTATGCCAGTCCATATCATCCCAGCCGTGCAACTCACTGACATTGAGCGGATTTGGGTACTGTTACTTCACCTCAACGGTGAAGCCAAAGAAAATGTCAGCGCATTTGCGTACCAAGATGTCAACATGGACTACCTTAGTGTCCTTCAGGTGCTCTTATCAGAGTATGGGCAAATGGATGCGGTCCGCCTCAAGCTGTACCGCGAATTTGATCGCCTTCCAGCACCCAACACCCTGCCAGAATTCTACAACTACTTTAACCGTGTCGTCCAAATCACCAAGAAACTAAGCACAATTCAGACTGACATGAATTTTGTGCACCTTCCCATGGGCCCTGTCCTGCGCGCGCATCTAGAATGTGGCAACTACCTGGAAGTACTCCAGGCCTATACCGATCGCCACGCCCAGATGCCCAAGCTGGACCCTGTCTGGGCAACTCGCCCTCATCAACAGTACAGGTTTATCCGCTCATACTTTGCGCACAAACTCAGCATGGCGGAGGCACCACCGGTTCTCGCATTTCAGGGCGCAGCTGCCTCGGCTGACGGCACTGCTGCTCCCGCAGCACCTGCCGCACCTCCCGCAGCGGCCCCACCTGCCGCAGCAGCCGCAGCCCCCACGGTTGCGGCCAATGTCAATCTTGCAAACGCAGCACCGTCGACTTCTAACAGGAATCGACGGCAACAACAAAACCTAAACAACGGCAATCAGTGGTGACCGTTTTGGCAAGGGCAATTGCGTTCCCGCAGCCCCCAAGTGGCGGCAGCGCGGGCGCTCCTCGGACCTACCACGCAGTTGCTCCCCAAACCGGCAGAATGACAACCGCGGACAACTGCGCCGCAACAATAACGACTCCCGTCGCGACTGGGACAACAATTCCCGGGACAATTGCCAGGACCAGCAGGACCATTTCAAGTGTCCCTTTTGCGCCGCAAACCACTCTGCGGCCCAGTGTCTCCTGTCCATCTGAGACAAACTGCACGCCATTCACCAGCATCGGCTCTGCAGTAATTGCCTCTGGCAAGACCACTACGGCAACAACTGTCCGTTGCCCAACAGATGTTGGCACTGCCAGCAGCCGCATCACAGGACGACGTGCAACCGCAACCGTCGATGGAATCAGCAGCCCGCCCAGCAAGGAGGGCTGGCTGCCATAGCCGCCCCAGCTGTCCAACAGGCAGCGCCAGTGG